TGGTTGCCAGCTTGCTTGGGCCATTTCTGGAACACTTTTGTAGAATGCTCCTGAGGATGCCGCGCTCTCCCTGCCCAGTTCCGTGTCACTTGCCCGGTCCCCTCGTACATGCTCTGAGCCCCGTGCAGAGAGGGATTTTACGGGTGTGTGAGCAGCATTGCCGCAGCGGCTGTAGCTACAGGAATCACACTGATGTGTGAATGACCAGAAGCCTTTGCTGAGGGAAAGCATAATCGCCCCCATGTAGCAAGATGGTTGACTGGGCAGGGATCTTGGAGATGTCAAGCCTATTGCTCTCCGTTTTGAACTACCTATCTTACAAAAGTCTAAAACCTGGCAGTTGACAGACTGGGGTTACACTGCCCCCGTGTGGCAGCACAGGAAACTGCAGCTGAACTTTTGTGGTCCCTGTGTCTATTTTGCTTGAGAGGTGTTCCCAGGGGTCCAGAATGAGTCAGCTTGGGAACACTCATTAAACTTGGGGGATTATAGGACCGATACTAGGGCTAATACCTTAGGAAAGAACTGGGAAATATGCGTTAAAATCTGCCTCCCGGGTGATTCTACAAAGTAGAATTCTACTTTGTAGAATCACCCGACTTCTGGGTGACCTCATTTGCAGGATTCAGGGTGAAATGAAAGTCCAGAGTCCCTCATTCAGAAATTGGTACGAATTTGAAGACAGCAACAGCAGAGCATTAAGTGAAGCACAGGCCCTGGGCGACTGCACGGGTTGCGTGCCCAGGAAGCTGTACCCACGTGGGGGCTCTCTGAATGCAGAGACTTCCTGTTGTGACCACATCTGTCCTACGTATCTTGAAAATTAGCTGCATAAGATGCAGTAGTTGAGAGCATCAGCCTGGAGGGGAGGTATTCCTGAAACAGAACTTGGACTCTGCTACTTACGGCTTATGTTACTTCGGGCACCTTTCTAATCTCCAAACCTCATTTATCTCGTTTTTATTTTTACATTCTATTTTAAAATTTTTATTTTATTTAAAATATTTAAGTATTTATTTTTAGAGAGAGGAAAAGGGAAGGAGAAAGAGAGAAAGAGAAACATCAATGTGTGGTTGCCTCTCTCACGCCCCCTATGGGGGACCTGGCCTGCGACCCAGCCATGTACCCTGACTGGGAATTGAACCAGCAACCCTTTGATTTTTCAGGCCATCACTCAATCCACTGAGTCACATCAACCAGGGCCAATTATTTCATCTTTAAATATTGGGATAGTTTCTGTCTCAAAGAATTGCTCTGAGATTACAAAATAACTTATGTCATTCAGTGAGTGTTGCCTAAATGTAGTTAGTAGCGTATCCTAAACTTACGGTTTTTAGGATATGATGTTAAAAATGATTACGAGTGGACAGAGCTCGGGCCTGCGAATCAATGGATCGCGGTTCGATTCCCAGTCAGGGCACATGCCTGGGTTGAGACTGCTTCCCTGCAGGCCAGTTTCCAGCAGGGGACGCACAAAAGGCAACCATACATTGATGTTTCTCTCCCTCTCTCCTTCCCCTCTATAAATAAATAAATAAATAAAATCTTTAAAAAAATGATTACGGTTCCTGTCCTGAAGGGCTGACATTCTCAGGGAGGGAAAAGCCATGTAACTCCATGTGGGCCACAGGTGTGATGGAGGTGTGCTCGGGTGCAAGTAGGAAGACCAGCTGTGCCTCAGAGGGGTGCAGAGGCAGAGTTGTAAGGAGGAAGTGGGAATTCGGGGAAAGGAGTAGGGTGTGTGTGTGGGGGGCACGTGTGTGGGGGGGAGGGAGCTTAGACAGAGGGAATAGCATGAGCTACACCAGGAACATGAACACCATGAACCTGTGGTAAAGGAAGGGCGCAGGTGGAGGAGGGGCTGGAGAGGAAGCCGGAGGAAAGCTCATCAGGAAGGACATTGGATGTCTACCTGAGGGGCTTCAAGTTTGGCTCAAAAGTTCTCAAGACCCCCAAGGAAGGAGTTTCGGCTGAGGATGGGTATGATGGGATCTGTTTTAGACAGTGAACTCCAGCTTTGGCAGTAGTTTTGCCACTGACATTTCTCCAAAGCACGATGATTGCTAATTGAAAAAGAAAAGAAAAGGAAAGAAAGTGAACTCCGACTGAGATGTCTAGGTTGGAAGGTAAGACCCAGAACGGGAATGGACAGAAGGTCCAGGCAGGAGAAAACCGCAGCGGTCCAGGCGAGGAGTGGGTGTGATGCGACCAGGCGGGGGAGGTGGACAGAGGGTCACATTCGAGAGTTGCCGGTGAGGTAGCTTATTCTTGGGATTTACTGGGTGTAGGGGGTCAATGAAGGCAAGAATAATGTCTGGGACAGCCCTGGCTGCGTCTTAGATAGTTAGAGCACCATCCTGCTACACCAAGGTTGTGGGTTCGATCCCCGTCAGGGCACATACAAGAATCAACCAATGAATGCATATATCAGTTAATTGATGCCTCTCTCTCTCTCTCTCTCTCTCCCCTTTTCTTCCTCTTTCTCTCTAAAATCAACAAATGAAAATTAAAAATATTTTTAGAAAGAACGATAGCTGAGGGTCAGGCTTCGGGGACTGCATGGCTGGTGGCCCCTTTCCCTGAGACAGCAAAGAGAGGAGGAAGATGAAGACCTGGGTCGGAGGAGAAGGGAGACGAAGTGGGGATGTTTTAGGGGAAGGAGGGGGTCAAATTTCTTTGTTGTTGACCTTGCACTCCTAAGGGGTAAGATATAATGATAAGACAGGCAAAGTCCCCGAGCTTAAGGGATGAGCCCAATTTTGGCCTGTTGGGATTGGGTTGCCTGGGGTTTTGGGTGGAGAAGACATCCTGACTTTCTGCTCGTCCTGATCCCGACATCCAACTGATGGGCAAGTCCCACTGGCTGTATCTCCAGGACATTGTTCATATCCACCCCCTTCTCTCCCTCTCCTTTGACACCTATAGAGCGAGTGAGGGGAGGGCTGATGGAGGAGGTGGGGAGCAGCGGGGGGGGGGAGCAAAGGAAGGGCGCTGTCCTTGGAAGCAGGGGGGCTGATTGGGGAGGGAAGGAGACATGATGGCGGTTTGGAAGCTGACTCCGTAGGATTTGGGAGAGGAGGATGAGGGCGGTTTCACAGGTGGGTCTTGGTTTTCTCTGACAGGGAGAAGGCGGTGCGGGGAGAAGCACGCAGGTGTGCTGTAGACCTGAGGGGAGCATGGGAGGGAGACATTGCAGGCAGGGATCCCAGGGGGGTCCTGTGGTGGTGTCAGCTCACAGGATGGTGGGACCACTCTCTCATCAGGGCTCAACAGGGCTGTGCTGGGGGGACAGGGTCAGCTGGCGAGGTGTATCCAGGGCAGGTGAGACCTGGACGGGCGGCAGCTGTCAGTGGGCCGTGGGCTCTGGTCTCAGGGAAGGAAGCAGAGCCAGAGAGTGTTGATGGATCCAAAATCAGAATGGCGAGACCGAAGACTCCATTGTCCCTTAAGTAAAATGCTGATGTTGCTGCCCCCTCACTCCATTCCTGTCACTGTCACAGTAGACGGTGAGTAGAATAGGAGAGTGGGCTTTTCAGAATGTCCTTGTGGAAACGTTAGGTCCCAAGGCCCAGAGCGTGGCTTCGGTGGACAAAGGGAGACTCGGTAGAGTTGGGGAATGTAAGAGAACAGTGTTCCTAAAAGTGTCCTAAGAGTGACACGCAACTCCCGCCAGTCTTACTGGGTCCCCAAGACCACAGGTGAATTGCGTGATCACTAAGGTGCTCTGTGGGTTGTCCGGGGTGGGGGTGGGACAAGGGTAGGGCAGCTGGGAATCAGAATCCTAGGAGTTTTTACATGAGGGATGTGTGTGGTGGGGGGAAGGGGCTCAGAGGCGTGGAGGACCGGGTGGGGGCAGATGAGCCCTGAAGGAGGAGCAGCCGTTGAAGTGAGTCCTGCTGACGCCCTGTCCCCCTGTCCGGCACACTGCACGTGACACAGGGTGAGCTGCCGCAGGTGGAGAGGCCGGGAGACGGTCCCGGGGCGGGTGGTGTCCTGTGGGCTGCCGTGTCCCAAGAAGGCCTTCCTGCTCGGCACTCTTCGTGTCCCCTCTGCGTCCCCACCCCTGCAAAGGAGGTGGGCAAGACACCCAGTCCCTCTCTGCGCCTCCTAGCAAAGCTTTCACATCCTCCGCTTTTGTCTTCACTGCGTAAGGTTGCACGTTTGCAAGGTTGTGCACAGGGGAGAGGTCTTAGGGGAGTATCAGTGACCCGGGGACCCTTCAGGAGGAGCGAGCCCGATGACTGGCCCACCCCCTGGCCAGGCGGGGCCTTTCCCAGTCGGTGTACTTGGCACATGACTCGCAGGGGGCGGGGCAGAGTGGAGATGCCACCAGCTCTGTCTCCCTGCTGTGCCCACGGACTGGGAGGACCTGGAAAGGTGCTGTCACAGGGACACATAAAGGACAGTGCGCTGCTGTGGGCCCCGCAAAGGAAGAGGGGACATGGGGATGAGGGGAAGAGCCTGAGGGAAGGGGTTCGGGACGAACTGCCGCAGAGTGACTGAGACAGAGAGGCAGTGTGGGAACCTGAAAGGTTGAAACCAGAGTCACCAGCCCACACATGGCTTCCTTCCTCCCTGGGCAGAAACAGCAGAGGGGCCGGGCGGGAGCGGGACGGCGTCTGCCTCGGCCAGAGGTTCCCCGCAGTGACTGAGGAACATTCTAGAAGTGTCTTCTGTAAAATCCTCTCCAAAGAGAAGAGAGCCATCATTTGCTTAAGGATGGGTTAAGGCTACTTTATTTAGTAGCTGGGGCTGAGGCTAAATGATAAGAATATAGCAGTAATAACAGCAGCTGAACACGCATCGACTACTCCCTGTTCTAAGCGCACGGTGCACAAGAACTCACCGACAGGTCTGAAGGGATGGGGCAGGGGGCACCCAAGTTCTGGATGGGAGGGCGGGTTGGGGGGCCCGGGCCCAGCCTCCACCTTGACCTGTGTCCTTCCCTCTGGAGCGTGGCCTGAGGAGGGTCCTGGGTCCCGGAGGAAGCTGACGCAGGCTAACTGAACGCATAACTTTATTAAATAAAGGCTTTGTCATGACACAAGACAAAGATCAAGGAGTAACATAAATTATACGTTGAATAAATAGTATACAGATATCTTCACCTTTTTAATAAAACGTGAGATCCTCTGTATTTTTTTTTTCCGTTTTTATTTCCTTAGGTACAAAATGCTAAACAGGAGGCGAGTTCTTCCGCATTCGGGTGATTTTTTTTCCCCCGCATTTTTTTTTTTTTTACCACAAACTGGTTTTGTTTGCTGGTTTGCTTATCCATCCTTTTTACCAGTAAAGATTATGAGCATTTATTTTCTTTAAAAAAGTTGAAAACAAAAAAGAGGAGAAAATAGAGCTATGGTACGTATGTATGTAAAACTATCAAGAACTACAGTAATATGTGCTGTGGTTATTGCTGTTTAAGAAAAAAAAACCAAAAACACAAACCGGTAGGCAACTCGGAATCTGAAGGTTCTTGTCTGACAACTGTCTATCCGTGTGGGCTACTGTGTGGTGGCAGTGGCGGTGGGACTCGGGCTGGTGTCGGGGGACCGGAGACCTGGGGGAGTGGGTGCAGGCAGGGCGGTGGCCCTCCCACCTCCCTTTCTCCTCCAGAAGGAGTCAGAGAGGAGGCCAGAGTCTGTGGAGATGGCTAAACTATATACTCCATTAGAAAACCAAGAAAGTATGTTTAAAAAAGACACAAAAACCTAAGAGGAAGAAAAAGCAGAGAAAAGTGCAAAACGTCTTGCACTTTAGTGGTTTCAAAAACAGACAGTACAACGGCCAGGTTGCTGGCAGGTAAAACCCCATCTCCCCGTCCCACCTCTTCCCAAAACTTAGCCTCCCTTCTCTTGGAGGCCCCAAGGGTCCTCTCTGAGACCAGAGGGCTGTTGCTTCTCCTGGGCCCACTCCTCTCTGAAGTTCCCATTCTGAGTTGGAGCCCTCTGGGCAGCTGGGCTGAGGGAGCGGGAGCCACAGTGCCCACTCCTAGGGGGCTGGGCAGTTGCCATGGCAGCCCTGTGGCTGCCAGAGAAGGGAGGTTGAGGCCCGCCTTCTGCAGACCTTAGAGGAGGCTGACCCTGTAGGGTTACCGTGGAGACCACCAAGGTGGTGATGGGAAAATGGGTGAGGGGAGGAGGTGGGACCCTATAGGGCCTCCCAGGCCTCCCTTCCTCCCCACTGTGAGGGTTGAATGTCTCCAGGCCTGCCTGTTTAGGCCTGGCTGTCCGAGAAAGTTTTAATTCTCTTCCTCCCCAGACACCCTCCCTTGCCGGCAGGCAGAGCGGGCAGGGCAGCTCTGGGGGAGGAGGATCGGTCCTGGCTGGGCCTGCCTCTATCATTGGGCAGCAGTTATGGGCCACACTGCTGGAGTGAGGCACAAGTCAAAAGGGAGATGGGGAGAGACCTGTCGAGGGCGGCAACATTGAGACTTGAGGCCACAGAATGGCTGGAGCCAGAGTCCTCTAGGTGAGCAGTCAGGGGCCAGCAGGAAGCCTGAGTCCAGGAGAAGCTGGCCGGGACTTCGCTGCCGGCAGCACTCACCCCTGCCCAGGGCATGGGCTCTGTCACCCCCAGTGACCCTCTCCCCAGGGTCTCTCCACTCTGGGTTCAGGCCAGACCTCCCCTTGGAGAGATTTAGTTCCACCTGTCACGAAGGTCCAGTGTCCTCTAGGGACTGGCCAGCTGACCAGAATCACCCCCTGCAAACACTGGAGACTCACAGGTCTGAGTCAGTTGTCATGAACTCTGGGAATCAGAAGAGACCAGTGGAGTTACAGGCCATGACCCCCATCTCGTGGCTGACAGCAAAGAGTCACTGTAAGGGGCAGAGGCCCATTCAAAGTCCAGTAAATATTGGGGGGTGGAGAGAACCCCTCTGAGGAACCAGGTCCAAGCCTGGGGAGGGGTGGGGGGAGGGTATGCAGTGCCTGGCTCAGTCTTTTCTTAGGGGGAATGGCACCCCCATATCCACCTGGCAGGTCCCAGTTAGACGGCTGCTCAGGATCCAAAGGGAGCATGGGCAGAAGGGGGCAAGCGGGGAAGGTCAGGAGACTGGCCTCCAGCACTGAGTGGGAGTTGGGGGCTGGGCACAGTCACACACAGAGACTGGTGTGCGGACACAGCAGGCCAAGTGAGTCCTTGTGGCTGCCATTCCCATCAGGCCCTCTGCCCCGTGAAGATCCACCACCTCTCCCATCCCCAGCCAACCATCCTGTCTCGGGGAGCAGGAGACATCCCCCAAGTTCTGCCGCTGCAAATTCTCTGCTAGCTGGCATAGATCTGTTTCTCTGCTGTCCCTCTTCATTGCCCCCAGTTCAGTGTTGGAGGGGTCTCCACGGTACCATGCCGTCGGGAGAGCGTAGAGAGCTGGGTTCACAGTGAGAAAGGGTCTCCTTGCCAGTGTCCAAACCCCATTTCCTGGTGGGCTATCTCCAGTCTCAGGGGGCAGCCCCGAAGCCACCCATCTGCTGAGGAAGTCAGTGGAGAACGGGAATCTCCTGGGGTCAAAGTTCAGCTGCCGAAGGACAGCACTGCCGAGCATCCACCTCCTGGTTGGCCGGAGCCTTCCCTGCATCCCCCGCCCCAGGGAGGAAGCCTGAACTGGCCAGAGTGAATGAAGGGCTTAGAGGACTCTCTGGCCTCAGCCCCTCACTGCAGGGGGAAGATGGGCATCTGAGCACAAAGTCTTGCCCCTTCCAAACACGGCCAGCTTCTATGGAGCCTCTCTCTGGTCTAGCTGCTAAGTCTATAGCCCACCTACGTGACCCACCTTCCTGGCTCTGAGGCCTGGAGTTAGCTCATTTCTCTTTTACAACCTGTTCCCCCTTTTCCTCTCTACTTCTTCTTGAATCCCAGAGGGGTTATTGGGTGGGACGCCATGGACATGGCCCTGGGCTTTGTCCCCCTTCCTTTTGCTTTGCTTCAAAGCTAGAGCGGGCCTGTCAAGCCTCATTCCCCCAGCCCTCTGTCCCCTCCCTCCATTTCTCTGGCCTGAACAATCACCTTTACTGCCTTCCTGCTCTGAAACCTGTTCACCTCTATCTCCCTCTCCGCCATCTCTCATGTCCGGCTCGCTCCTGCCTTGCCAGTGTGAAGAGTGAGAGAGGCTTTCAAAACACAGGCTCTGCCCTGGTGACGTGGGAAGGCTGCAGGGAGCAGTCGGCCACACCCGGGCCCGTCAGGGTCGCTTGGTGCGGGCCCCGGAGACGGCGACCTCCGGAGGGCCTGCAGGGACTTGCCGGGGTGCACGGCCACCCGGCCGGGTGCTGTGTGTGAGCATGTGTGCCTGTGGGAAATCAGGAAAAAAAATCCAACACTGTGCCCCACAAAGGGGGCTGCTGCTCACGGGAGGCAGGCAACGCTGGTGTTTTATGGGTCGTGTTAGGAGAATATGAGTTTTCTTGGTTTTCCCAGAATGAGGAAGCTCCTCAATGCCCCCATAGAAACTACTTTAGAAAGTTAATGCAAACCTTTGAAAGGAAGGAACGAAAGAAAAAAATAGATTTATATGCCTATATATGACTACATGGAGCCTTGTAGATAAATACAAGCCCGCGTTTTTTTCAGCCTATCCTCCCCCACAGAGGCTGTGCTAGTTGCGAATCGAGTGCTTGGAGGTGCTGAGACCACACGCGTGGTCTCGGTCTCCCCGGAGGAACGAGTCCTCCCACTGTCGGGGTCTGTGCTGATTTCTAGAAGTTTGCACAGGGAAATCTGCACACACGCTTAAAGCTTAGGTGTCTGCTTAGGAAATCTTATCTATCTAATATCCCTCGGGTATTAATTTGTTTCGTTTTGAGAGGAATGGAATGCATTTAGTGTTTTTAAATTTGGGGGGAGAGAACACTCTACTGGGGTGAGCAGAGGGAAGGAGGGTTCGAGCTGCCCGCGTGGCTGGCTGGAGGTGGAGAAAAATCCCAGAGAGGCAACGACACTTTTCTGTCCCTTCCGTTCTCTCCCCGTGACCAACCTAAACTGCGAAAGCTCCAAGTGTGCCATTGAGTACATCTTGGGTCACTACTTCTAGGGCCCCGACATGTGTCCAGCTCGGGCCGGGGCTGCTGGAAGGTGGGTCCAGCCGCGGTGCCTGGTCTCTCCTTCCTGCCCACACGCCTCCTTCCTTTTCCTGACCCTGTTCATCTTTCCCTCTCTCCTACACCGACACCTCTTCCCTTCGCTCCTCCTGTTCGTCCTCTCTTCCTTTCCTTATTCATTCAACTTGCCTCAAACAGAAAACCATTTAAAGGGGGGGGGTCTCCTTAGCTTTTTTCCTCTCCGCTGTTGCCATTTTCAAAGTTGAGACCTTGCTAGAGATTCCGAGGTCCTCAGTTTCCTCAATTAGATAGATATATGCATTTTTTCCCTTAAATGAGATGAAATGAGTGGCATCCTAGGGTGGAGGGAGGCACTGGCTGGAGTTGGGGCTGGGGGCGGGACGGGGTGAGGGAAGGATGGGGCGGGGACGCATCACTCAACGTTGCTGCCGTCGAAGGTGTGGCACTGGAAGTCCCCGTCGACGTACTCCATGCTGGGCAGCTTCATGCCGTACTTGTCCACGCACCAGCAGATGCCGCGTTTGCGGCCGCGGGAGGGCTTGCACTGCGGTGGGGGGAGAGACGGGCCGTGAGGACGGCTGTGCCCCGGGACTGGTCTGACCCTCCGTTTTCCCTCCCAAGGCAGACTCTCACCCCCAGAGAATCGAGGGGGCCGTGTCCAACCCTGGGGGTCTGGTGCCCCCACAGCACAGGAGGGCCTGGGGAAAATGATAGTTTCGGGAGTCTGCCCTCGGCTACCTCCTATAACTTCTGTTTCATGTCACCCATTCGGGATCTTCCAACTCGGTATTCTCTGAACAGCTTCATGATCTAATGATCTGATAATCGTATAGTAATAATAATAATAATAATAATAATAATAATAATAAATAGGAGGCATCCCTTCTGCAGTTTATGTAGGTACTGTTCTAAGTGCTTTACAGAGATTAACCATTCTTCTTCATAATTGTGTGGAAATAGTAAGTATGACTATTCTACATTTTACTTGAGAAACTCAGCAGAAACATTAAATGACTGGGGCAAGAAGACATAGTAGGTACATGGCAGAGCCAAGAATTGACATCCTAGGGTGGATGTCAATTCTAGGGTGGATGTCAAGGCCCCTGGCTCTGGACCTACCTCTAACTTAGATGAGGGCACCCTTGTGGAGCACCAGGGTCACCTGGGAGGGAGCTTGTTAGAAAAGCAAGATTCTCAGAGTCCACCCATGCCCACCAGACACTCTGGGGAGTGCATGGGGAAAGTAATTGGTGTTTTAAGAAGCCTGCTGGGTGATTCTGACGTCCAAGGAAGGCTGAGAACCAGTGCCCAAAGGTAACGCAGACCAGGTTTAACAGCCAAGTGCCGCTGGTTAACCGACAGTGGGGTACTCAGAAGGAAGCCTGGCTGCGAATGGGACCCCAAACGACTGCAGGTGGTCCATGGTGAAAGTATGTTTTAAAGACATATATGTGTGTGTATATTCATACGTATCAGAAAATAACACATACAACACAGGATGTCACATAGAGATATAAATGTTCCTTTCACAATTAATGTAAATAAGCTAAATCATTGAAACTGAAATGGATTGTTATAGTATAGGAGAGAGTGGGAAAATTCACACTGTGATAAGGATATTTGAGGTTTGAAAAACACCATTGTTAATAACAGAAATTTTAGTTTAGAGGTAGAGGTTCCCTGGTAGAGGTTTTCCTTTGAACTTGGGGGCACGGGCCAGGGGCATACCTGCTTTCTCTTGTAGAACCCTTTGCGGTCACAGTTGGGCAGGTACACGGCACGAGGCACCATGCGAGGGCTGGCTTTGAGCTCCTGCAGGGAAGCCTCCATGTGTCTGCGGCAGGGGCCCTGCGTGCGGACAGGAGGGATGAGCGCATGGCGGGATCCAGGTGGAAGCCACCTCCTTTCGTTCCAATGAGTTGCTACCAAAGGTCTTTCCCCCTCCCCTGCTATGTGACCTGGGCGTATGAAGTGTGCAAGACCTGCTCTGTGACCAGGCCCGGAGGCAAGCCGTCCCACCTGTCTATGGCCCATCAACCTTTCCAAGCCGCTGAGTAGTGGCGCCCGGGGGCGGGCGACTGCGGGTGCTCCGGCTCAGCGGTGTTCCAGCGGTGCGCACAAGAGCGTTTAACCCGTGCCACACCTGCCTATGTAGTCAGGAGCACCGGCTTCTTTCCCCTTAGATTGTCAAATAAAAAGTGACAACAGCCAACACAGCAGTAGCCATCTGGTGTGAATGAAGCAAAACTATACCTAGTTTTTGGTCTGGTAGGCAAAAGTATGTATTTTTCGGTGTGCCACAGCCTTTTAGCGATTCGTTTATGTGTCGTGAGACGAAAAAGGCCGGAAACCGCTGCTCTGGGAGAATGTTCAGCGTCTGCCTCGGTGAGGACACGGCTCCAGGGCGTGCGTGCTGGCTGGGGCCGCCGGCACTTCTCGCTGCCTCTACTCCTGCTACTCAGACAAGCCCTCGGCCCTGGCAACTGTGGGCTCCTCTACAGACTCTCCACTGCAAGTGGCCGGTCCTCCACTGGGTCTAGCCTAAGCACCTCCCGCTGCCAGGAATGCTCGTTTAGACGCAAGTCAGGGTGGCAGCAGAGGCTGCGGGGCGTGGATGCGGAGGGAGGTGGAGGAGAAACCTGGAGACTCACCTGCTCGGATTCCTGTCTCATCTCAGGTGCAGCGATGACCCGGGGGTGAGCAGTGTTCTCGGCTCCTCCCACGAACTTGGACTGGGTCAGCTTCTTTCTGCGGTCCTTCTTCACGGCCTCGGCCTTCAGCTCGGAGATGCGACTGTGCTTGGGCCGGAAGATCTTGGGGGAGTAGGTCTCCTCTGCTGTCTCGGAGGCGGTTGGTTCCTCCTGCTCCTGGGAGTCTCGCTCTGCTGGGAGGAGGCAAGGGAGGGTCAGCCTCTGCAGCTGAGGTGCAGAGGGCAGAGCCCAAGGCTCTGAGGTTGTGGGGGAGGGTGCCGAGAGGGGGTCTCCGCCCCCCTGGAGCTGAAATAAGAACCAGGGTGCGGACTGCGCTCACAGAAGTGGCAGGAAGTTGCTGGAAGGATTGGAGTCCTGCAGAGTGAATCTAGGAAGACTTCTGTGGAGTTGGGGGATATTGAAAAAGTCAAGCTGATAAGCAAGGGAAGTTTGACAGGAGGGAGAGGACGTCCTGGGGGCAGGAAAGGGGAAGAGGGAATGAAGTGGCCTGTGGTGGGACTTGGGCTGGTCAAGGGCTTGCTTACTGGGGCCGGCTAGGCAGTGGCTGGAGGTGAGAACACAACCTGGAGATCTTGGTTGTTGGTGGAAAACAGGGGCAGCCAGGGTGTGGACAGGAAAGCCCAAGTGTAACCTCTCGTGAAGTCTTTGTGCTTTCAGAACTCCTGGAGGTGAGATGTATTGGATTTGGGGCCCTGGGGGTCTGAATTAGATGGGTGGGGGGAAACGTCATATAGAACAGGAAGAGGGGACCTGCGTGGAGGGGACCGGTGTTGGTGGGTTGCGGTGGGGGATGCGGAACCCAAGGCCTGACTCCAGGCTCTGAGCCAGAGCCGGCTCTGCCCTCGGGGCCTGGACAGGCTGCAGCCCCAGGCCGAGAGGCCGGCAGCTGGCTGGGACTGGCACAGTTATATATAGGGGTGACCCGGTGACAGTCTATACTTAGCTGACTTATGACCTTTAAAGAAGTAGGACTTTGTTCATTTATTTGTTGGTCTGTTAATTCTGCCTGTCTGGCCTTTTCTCAGCCCACAGATTTCCATTCACTTCATATCTCACAGGCACCCTCCTCTCAGTTCTTTGGCCCCACCAGCCTATGCAGAGCCCAGAGGTCAGGACTGCCCTTCCCAGAGGGCAGGGTGTGGCCAGGATGCCCACGGTGAGAACAGGTGCCCAGGTCAGGGCGGGGAGGCCCTGTCTCCGTTGCTCTCTTTTCAAATCCTAGAAAATGCAAACGGCTTGGAGGGGACCCCACGTAACTCAAATGCAGTGCAGGAAAAGCTGCTGTGCACCGGTTTTGCTATCACGGGGCCACCCAGGAGTGAGGTGCTCTGATGGGAAGTGGAAGGAAAGGCACGGGAGCAGGTGGGGTGGGGGGTGCAGGGAGCGGGAAGCTGGGTGAGAAGACACTGTTGTGTGTCCCCGGGGCAGCAGCTCTGGGCCCAGGAGGAGTTACAGGTGTGTGTTAAGAAAGGCGTCCAAACTCGGTTGGGGTGGCAGGTGGCAGGAAGCACCCACACACCTGTTTGTTGGCTCCAGATTTGCCACTTTTAATTGAACAGGCATCTAGTCTTTAAGACCCTGGCAGGGAAGTTCCGGGCCCTGACGAAGCCTCCACAGGTTTGCAGGGCTCTGGGGGGTTAGTTGATTTGGGTTATTTATCCACAGGAGGGAAGGGATGTAGCCCCAGGAGAGGAAGATAAGAGAAAAAGCAAAGAGCAAAGCCAGAGGCAGGCTCTCTCTGAACCCAGTTCAATGCCAGGCTTGGGTGGGGGGGAGTGGGAGGGGAAGTGGAGACTACTGTACTTGAACAATTCACACGGCCGCCCCAGGATCCCGGCCTTTCACTCTGTCTTCCCACCGTGACTTGTCTCTCTGCTCCGACTCCACTTATCGGAACCTGCTGTGTTGACTCATGTCCACGTGATGTGCCTGGGCCGTGGAACGTGGCCTTCTAGGAATTAGCTCATAGAGTGATGCTTTGCGGTAAACCTACTTTTCTTTCTTTCTTTTTAAAGATTTTATTTGTTTTTAGAGAGAGGGAAAGGGAGGGAGAAAGAGAGGGAGAGAAATACCAATGTGTGGTTGCCTCTCTCTCTCTCGCCCTCTACTGGGGACCTGGCCTGTAACTCAGGCACGTGTCCTGACCAGGAATCAAACTGGCGACCCCTTGGTTCACAGGGTGGCACTCAAACCACTGAGCCACACCAGACAGGGATAAACCTACTTTTCTTGGTTGTGGGATGAGCTAGAATGGGGCTTGGATGCAGGGACAGGCGTAATTGCTTTGGGGGACTCTGTGCAAACTGAGAAGCTAGAGCTCTGTTATCAGGTGACTCAAGCCCAAACCCAACTTGGAAAACAGGTGGTAGGGAGAGGAAAAGCCAACTATGGCTCAGACGGGTTGCTGAGCTCGTCTTCCTGAGTGACTCTCGACTTTTCACTCAGCCTCTGTGGGCATCACCAGGCACTCTAATTCTCAAAAAGCATTTGACCACTGGGATAGAGGAGAGAAAGGCAGATGGTTGCCACTGAAAGGCTGGGGTATTCTGGGGGTGTGTGGCCATCCCCCATCCCCCTCCCCCAGTCAAGATTGAAACCAGATGAAGTGAGGGGAGGTGGGAGAGGGGGCTGGGTGCCGACCAGTGCAGGGCAGATGTGTGTTTCTTTCAGGGCCTGCTCTGGAGGGCCAGCAAACTGTCCTCAGGGGCACCTGTGACTCCAGGCTGCAGGAGTTCCCTGGCCAGTGGGAGAGGCCCCAGGGAGCTGCTCCCCTACGGGGGTCTGGCCCAGCCCCCGGAGTCCTTCCAATGGACCATCTAGTGCTTCCCCTGTGTCCAAGTGGAGCTAAGTACATGCACCTATTCCAGGGGTGTTTTTTCCGCCTCGTAAAGCCCTCTGGGATGGGTATGCCTCCCCTCCTCCTCTGGCCACCTGTTTTGGGGGCACTCCCTGTCCCTTTGGTCAGAGGGTGTCGTCTGCCAGATGTCATTTCACAGGGCGTCTCCCTCTGGCCTTGGTGGACAAGGAAGCATGTTGGCTCCCAGCTCTGAGTGTTATCAACAGCTCTTCTCAAGTCTCCTCACTTTAAGCTTTTTCTAAGAAGGGCTGCCTGTGGGCCAGCCTTCACTTTGGGTCCCCCTTCCTGGGAGGAGGATGGGGCTGTTAATGGTTTGAAAGAACTCTGGGGCAAACTAACCTTGACCTTTCTTAGACTTTTCTCTTCAAGCTTTCAAGTATCGCCTTGGGGCTAAGCAATGACGACCAAATCATTTGTTTCCCTGGGAAACAAAATGCAGATTCCTGTACCCTCTCTGCGTCCTTCCCTGGCCCCTGCAGGGCGGGGCTCCTGAGGGTACACCCTCCCCCTGCGACCAGCCCTTAGGATGCTCTGAAGGGAAGACTTAGAGCTTTGATGTGTCTCCTGGGTTTTGGTGCCACTTAACCCCAAGGGAACTACTACTTGGTGGGGGGGAGGGATGGGGGAGAGTCAAGTATCAAAGATACTGATCAGAGTCTTGTGGTCACCTGTAGGCTCCAAAGGGACAGTGGGAACTTGGCACAAAGCCAGGGCAGAGCCACTGAGATTAAAGGGCTGGGATGCTAGAGCCAGCAAGCCCTACTCAGCTGCTTTGGGGCTGAGTCATAAATAGGCTTTCAATTTGGGAAGGGTTTAAGTTTGGGAAGGGATAAAACAAGAAGGCACCAGTAGACTGGCAGCTCCTGAGCTATTTCATCAAGAGAAAGTGGAGCGAGGGTGTGGGAGGGATTTAGGTGAAACTAAAGGGAGGACTTCCCGGGGAGGTTGCCCTGTACACAAACAGCCATGGAAGGAACAGAACAGTGCAGGGGGTTCTGGAACCTGTTGGACAGACAGGTTAATACCTCCACGTGGCCAGTAGGTGGCGCAGGAGACTGATGACCATGCAACGTGTCCCTGGTACTTATGGCTAGGGACTGTAAGTCATTTTAAAATCTGGAATTTGTGCGCCTGTTTCTCTGACAACCACTCAAACCCTCTCCTTTTCTCTGTGTGTCTGCAGCTTGTGGAGAGTCAGGGAGCTGGACAAGGGAAGACTGGAAAGGACCCACAGGAGGGGGAGGTGGAGAAGGCAGGCGTGGGAACTGGAAGTGAGGAGAGAGGGCAAGGCTTATCTGGGCATAACTGCGCCCCCTCCCCCTGCAAGCTGTTTCTTTCATCTGCAATTTAAAAAATGATCAGGGAAAGAAGTGAAACATATCCGGAACCCCCTTTCCCATCTCTAGATGCCATTTTGAAAGGATTCTGCAGAGGATGGAAAATGTGGACTGCTCAGCATCATTTCCTTCCCCTTTAGTTCTGTGATCCCGCCTGATGGCTGCAGGGGGAGAGCCATCATACTGTCCTGACAGTCACCTTTGGGCCGAGTTGTGATTCTGCTCTGACTCCTACCCCCACGCCCAGCCCTGCCATGTCATGCGGGGCCATCTCAGGTCCTCCTCCTTCCGAAGGGCTGCCCATTGACACTGGTGCAGTGACATTCACTGAGACACAGGCGGGTACGTGAGCCTTCCGTGTGCCAACGTGCACACCTGCTGGAGGACTGCACCCTTCCCATGCCCCAGCAAACACAGAGAACCCAGGGGCACCTCAGGGTGGGCCGACTGACTCACAGGGCAGGTGCACAACACACACCCCCACCCAGGCTCCACCACTGTCTCCCACCGGCCCTCTCGCTGCTGTTTTGCTGTAGGGGCAGGAAGCTTTAGCAGCATTAACAGGCACGTGGTCTTAAGAAACATCTGACCCCACCCTACTCCCCAGTTAGAGATGGATGGCTCCCTGCAGTCTGACCTCCCACCCCAGGGCTCTCAGTCCCATCCTGGTGCCATTAGCAGCCTGCTCCTGGGCGGTTGGTAGATCCCACTCTTTCTTAACCTCATAATCAAACCTCAGAGAAAACTTGGTGGCCCAGGTCTTGTGACTTTGCTTACGGAAATGGAAGAAACTGAGGCGTACTTGGAATTCACAGCCCAGGAAGAATGTCGGGCTCTGCCAGGCCACCTGGACCTGGAGAGAGGAAAGTCTCTTTTTCTAGCCAGAAGACAAGATGGTTTTGCCCAGAATCTCTGTACGGGAATGAAAAAGGGAGCTGGGTTTCCACTGGCTCTCATTCTAGTCCCATGTGTGGAATTT